GCTCCCTGTATGACGCTCCGGTGAGTAATCTGGCTGCCTCCCGCTGGACTAATTGAAGTTTCCGAACAGTCTTCAAAGGCAACCCCACGTAGAGTGCGTTGCAGTAATCTATCGGGATGTAACAACAGCGTGGACCACCGTGGCCAGATACAACTTCCCAAGGTACGGGCATAGCTGTACCTTTGGGCTTTTCCAGGCAGCGTCAAAATGCAGGACTAATAAATGGGCAAAATATCACCGCAAGTCCAAACACAAACCTGTCAATCCCGGTAAATGGTCCCCTGTTGTCTTGATACCTTTGTTTGTAGACGTAGACAAACCAGTAAAAGTTTACTTTAATTTTATTTTTAAAAACTAGTGGTCCCCTGCCACGTGTTCCTGTGGCCCAGTCTGGTGATCTGGAAAATAAAGTAATGATAAAGTGTTGGTTTCTAATCTATGTAATTCCTTTCTGCTTGTGAGTAAACAGTATTTCTTGCTGTTTCTTTGCCAGTGTTGATGTGGAGAGTGTCTGGTTTGCCTACTCTGGAAGATGTAACATATCATAGTCCTTCTTTAGGGGTCCCTTTCAAATCTATGGTACTATATCCAGGGGCGGCTCAACCATTACACAAAGTAAGCCTTCGACAGGGGCGGCTCATCCATTACGCGAAGTAAGCGGTCGCAGAACACTTTTTTTTGCCAGGGGTGCAGAGGCGCCTCTGTAAATGCCCCTCGACCGCCACTTGAGGAGCGCCCCCTCAGCTCACAACAGCCCTAGCAGTCCAGGGGGAGCCTCGGCTTTCTTGCCTCACTGCCGGGCGATCCTCTTCCCAAAGGGGCCGGGCCCTTGAGCCTCGCCTAGCCCCTCTCGTTCCTGCTCCACCCGGCCACCGGGTGCGCGAGCAGAGCTGGTGCTCAATCGTTCTCCGCGTTCGATCCCTTCCCCATGACCGGCTCCCTTTCCCGATCCCCCGGCGCTCCACCCGCCTCCTCTCCTCTCCCCAATCCTCGGGTGGGCCAAGGGGCGGAGCCGCCACACCTGGCCCGCTTCGGGTCCGGAGGCGTGTCTGAAGACCCCAGCGTGCGCACCAAAAGTCACCTCTTCTCCTGACTTTCTCTTCAGCCATTGGGACCAAGAGAGAGAGAGAGAGCCCCTCCGGCTGGAGGTATCTCCCACCTCCGCTCCCTCCTTTGTTTTTGCGCCTACCTTCAGGAAAGGTGGGCATCTCCACCTCTCTCTCTCTCTCTCTCTCGGTCCCAATGGCTGAGGAGAAAGTCAGGAGAAGAGGTGACTTTTGGTGCACACGCTGAGGTCTTCAGGCACGCCTCCGGACCCAAAGCGGGCCAGGCAAGGGAGCAAGTGCGGCAAGTGTAGTTACTGGGATGTATAGTTCACCTACAATCAAAGAGCATTCTGAACTCCACCAATGATGGAATTGAACCAAATATGGCACACAGAACTCCCACGACGAACAGAAAATATATATCAATGATTGGTTGGGGGGGGGTGGTGGTGCCAAAATACTGTTTGCTTACTGTTGAAAATTACCTAGGGCCACCTCTGAGAATCAGAGGGACTCCCAGGGGCCATCCAGCCCAAGCCCCCTTCTACCAGGTGGGAAAGGCACAATCAAAACCCTCCCGACAGATGGGCATCCAGCCGGCTCATGGAGAAACAGGGCTATAGAATCAGAGGGACTCCCAGAGCCATCCAGCCCAAGTCCACTTCTGCCAGGCGGGGAAGGCACAATCAAAACCCTCCCGACAGATGGGCATCCAGCCGGCTCATGGAGAAACAGGGCTATAGAATCAGAGGGACTCCCAGGGCCATCCAGCCCAAGTCCCCTTCTGCCAGGCAGGGAAGGCACAATCAGAACCCTCCCGACAGATGGGCATCCAGCCGGCTCATGGAGAATCAGGGCTGTAGAATCAGAGGGACTCCCAGAGCCATCCAGTCCAAGTCCCCTTCTGCCAGGCGGGGAAGGCACAATCAAAACCCTCCCGACAGATGGGCATCCAGCCGGCTCATGGAGAAACAGGGCTATAGAATCAGAGGGACTCCCAGGGCCATCCAGCCCAAGTCCCCTTCTGCCAGGTGGGAAAGGCACAATCAAAACCTGACAGATGGGCGTCCAGCCATTATATGCTAATCAAGGTGATCAGTTGAAACATTCACACCTGGCTCCAGCAGACAAGGGTTCTTTGTCCCACCCTGGTCATTCCACAGATATATAAACCCATTTTCCTACTTCCAAAAGACCTCACTACCTCTGAGGATGCTTGCCATAGATGCAGGCGAAACGTCAGGAGAGAGTGCCTCTAGACCATGGCCATATAGCCCGAAAAAACCTACAGCAACCCGTTCTGTTGATTGAAATGGAACATTCTTCTTCGTGAATACAAATATGACTGAGCCTTCGGATACCTCCTCTAAAGCAATCTGACTTTTTGCAGAAAGGAAATAGCTCATACAGTTGTCACCTCCCCAGCAAATAGCAGAGTTAATAGGGAAAGGCTCGTATAGCATCTTGCATTGTGGCAAATTCTTCTCCGGGGTTTATGGAGAGGGATGGAGCTACCCAACATGTCAATCCTACCTCAAACTCGCTTGGCTTTGTTGTATCCAATTAAAGTGACAAAAACGGGGGATGATGGGGAAATGCAGCCCTTATTAAGATGTCTGTCATCCTTTGCAACCTGCTCTTAAAGGGACATGATTCCTATCACACCTAATGAAACTTCCTCTGTGACAGATTGGGTTGCAACAGGCTTCCGTTGTCTGTAAATGCTCCCCAATCACATCATGATGGCTGGGAATCTGAGCTGTTCTCAATGGTTATTTCCTCACCCTAGAAAAGAGAAGTGGTTTTGTTTTTTTACAAGGAATTTTCTTTAGTTTCACATGGAAAAAGGGAAAAAGTAAAGAAGACCCTGTTGGTTCTCTTGGACATCTCAGTGGCTTTCGATACCATCGATCATGGTATCCTTCTGGGACGACTCTCCAGGATGGGTCTTGGAGGCATGGTTCTGTCGTCGCCCCGGTCCTTCCTGGAGGGACGAACCCAGATGGTGAAGCTGGGAGACGCCTGCTCGGACCCCTGGCCTTTGACCTGTGGGGTCCCGCAAGACTCCATTCTGTCTCCCATGCTTTTTAACATCTACATGAAACCGCTTGGAGAAGTCATCCGGAGTTTTGGAGTTGGGTGCCATCTCTATGCAGATGACACACAACTCTACTACTCTTTTCCACCTAACTCCAAAGAAGCCCCTCGAGTGCAAGATGAGTGCCTGACCGCATTGTGTGCCAAGGTTGGTCTTTATCAGTTATTTATGCGGCTCGCTGTGGTCTCAGGAAGTTAATGATTGTACTGTGAGTCCCATCGTCCATGGTCTGTCCTCCTCCAAACAGCACCAGGATGTAGAGTGGGTCATGGGGACTCTGTGTGCCAAGTTTGGTCTTGATCAGTCATTGCATGACATTCGCAGAGATCTTGGGAAGTGAGTAAAGGTACTTCAAGTCCCATCATCCTTGGTCCATCCTCTTCCTAACTGCTCCAGGATGTAAAGTGGGTCAGGTCATGGGGGCTCTGTTTGCCAAATTTGGTCTTGATCAGTCATTGGATGAGGGTCGCAGTGGTCTCAGAAAGTGAGTGAAGGTACTGCAAGTCCCATCATCCATGGTCCATCCTCCTCCAAACTGCACCAGGATGTAGAGTGGGTCATGGGGTCTCTGTGTGCAAAGTTTGGTCTTTGTTGGTCATTGGATGTGGGTCACAGTGGTTTCAGTAAGTGAGTGAAGGTATTGCAAGTCCTATCATCCATGGTCCATTCTCATCCAAACTGCACCAGGATGTAGAGTGGGTCATGAGGGCTCTGTGTGCCAAGTTTGGTCCTTATTGGTCATTGGATGTGGGTCACAGTGGTTTCAGTAAGTGAGTAAAGGTATTGCAAGTCCCATCATCCATGGTCCATCCTCCTACAAAATGCAGCAGGATGTCTGTTGCACTCTGCCATATATGTGTGTTTGTGTATATATATGTGGTTTTGTGCGTGTGTTGTAATGTTGTTTTTTATTTTTCACTTTTTAAGTCCCTTCTGCTGTGTTTTTCAGTGTTTTTCTGAGTGGTGGTCACTTGTTGGCCTGAGAGGTGCCTTGTGTCCAAATTTGGTGTCAATTTGCCCAGTGGTTTTTGAGTTCTGTTAATCCCACAAACGAACATGACATTTTTATTTATATAGATGTGTTCTGTTTTTCTGTCCAAAGAATGAGAATGAGATCAACAACTGTGTCCAAACTATTAGCTTGCATTCCTAGTGTGTGATATACTAGGCCTGGGTAACAACGGAAAAATTTGTTTCTAAAATCGATTTCTATTTGGGGGGTTTTTTTGTTTCGATATTTAAAATAATTACAAAATTTTCCTTTTAAAAAGTTCGATATTTACGAAATTTCGTAAATGGTAAAAAATTAACGAATTCGATTTCCGAAACAATAACGAATCGATTCGTTAATGGCGGACGCGACCGCGAAATACGCTAAAAAACCTCCAAAACCTTCTGAAGCTTCCCTCTCCCTCTGTTGTTGACTGTTGGTGTGATATTATAATTTTTTTTCACTAATTAAACCATAAAACTGGCCCAGACATGCGGAAATAATAACGAAACGCCCTCAAAACAATAACGAAACGAATACAATATCGAAATACGAAGCATTTACAAAACGTTTTTGAAAATTCGTTTTTTTAATAATTGCTCCAGAATGGTTCGTTATCGTTTTGTAATTGAAAAAATTAACGAATTATTAACGAATTACGAATTAACGAAACGAAACCGCCCAGCCCTATGATATACCACTTGCTTTTATTGAATGTAGTTGATTCTGATATTTTTTTTTACATTGTGTCATGCACACTGAATGAGAAAAACACTTTGTACTACTCCTCAATGTCTCTGCTGCGGCTCTTGTCATTGCTACTTCCACTAACTGTGGGTACTCTCTGTGTATTGTTTCTTTGCAGAAACTCAACGTATTGCATGAAGGTGTCAATGTCCTTGACCGTTGCGGAGAATGAATCGGGGCTTTGCTACAACAGCACAATTCGCTACTTAGAGAAATCAGAGATCACTAGGACAAAGATCATCTCCTGCCCAGACATAGAGGATTATAAAACAGGGAACCAAGAACCAGAAGTCATATGGTACAAGGTAAGAAAGTGACACCCGTTGTCTTGAATGAATATATAACACTGAATGTATTATGCTAACTGTTGTGCGTGGGAAGAGGATAAGCTAGAGTCAAATGCACAAAAAAAAATTATATTATTGCATCTGTTAAGTAGGAAATTTTGGTAGGTTAATTTAACTAATTTACAACACCATAAAAATCTCCAGCAAGCATGCAAAGAATGAGGAAGTACTCCATCAGTGTCACAAATGGACAGTGAAGCAACTGCTCCCCTGGTGGCCAGAATATCCTCATGAAGCTGGAAAAACTTAACTAATTTACAATGCCATAAAAATCTCCAGCAAGCATGCAAAGAATGAGGAAGTACTTCATCATTGTCACAAATGGACGGTGAAGCAACTGCTCCCCTGGTGTCCAGAATATCCTCATGAAGCTAGAAAAACTTAACTAATTTACAATGCCATAAAAATCTCCAGCAAGCATGCAAAGAATGAGGAAGTACTCCATCAGAGTCACAAATGGACGGTGAAGCAACTGCTCCCCTGGTGTCCAGAATATCCTCATGAAGCTAGAAAAACTTAACTAATTTATAATGCCATAAAAATCTCCAGCAAGCCTGAAAAGAATGAGGAAGTACTTCATCATGGTCACAAATGATCAGTGAAGGGACAGCTCCCCTGGTGGCCAGAATACCCTGAGGAAAAGCTGGAATGTTAAATAGCCTCTGACTTTCTGTCTATATATGTTGTGTGTCTATGGCATTGAGTGTTTGCCATGTATATATACATTGTAATCCGCCCTGAGTCCCTTGCGCGGTTTGAAGGGCAGAATATAAATACTGTCAATAAATAAATAGAATAGAATAGAAAGCGTTATTGTCATTGTACATTGACTAAGATCCATCCCCAGGCAGAAAGCTGTTTTGCTCTTGTTTATTACACATAAAGGCAATAGAATTGTTTGAGTTTAGAGAAAAAAAGAAGAAAAGAAGCGGTCAGATGCCGAGCAAGGCATTTCCCATCCAAGAAATTAGTTTAATAGGCATAATAGTGACATGTCAGGCAGTGAATTCCTATCATCCGTGCGGCGATTTGTTGGAGTACAGCTGCCAATGCAAAAATGACGCGATTTGAGTTCCATCTCATCAGCCTCGCTGTGTTCGGCTTGTGCACAAATAATTTATTTGGAACTGGGATGACACACAGGGAGCCGCGATATGTCAGAAGAGAGCCGGGAAGTCAACGATGCTCTGTCAGTCTGCTTGCTTTTTCTCTCCCAAGAAGTCTGCGCTTCTTCAATGAAGACTGATGAAACATGTGCTGTGGCATGGGGTTAACAGAAATGAGATGTGGTTCCTCCGCCACCCGCCCTTCCTTTTCCGGATGTTGTTTCTTGTCAGCTATTAAGGCAGCTTGGCCCCCAAACGTCCAGAGATATTTTTACGAGCCAGTCCAGAGAAGGAAGGAAACTCCCGGATGGAGCAATCAAAGGGGAGCTGGAGAGAGTCGGATCTATCTCCGTGATGCTCAATGCCCAGGGGCAGCGCGCAAATGCATGTTTGGAATATCAGAGCAAATAGAGACGTGTCGGGTTGGACAACATTTTCGAAATCTTCAGCTACCTTCATTATAGCAGCCCAGGGGCTCCCCCCCCCTTTATTATTTGAGTCATTTCTTCTTATATTATAATCCCTGGCCATGGCACCGAGACGGCTTTGGTCGCCTTGGTGGATGATCTCCGTAGGGAGCTGGACAGGGGGAGTGTCTCAGCGGCTTTCGATACCATCGATCATGGTATCCTTCTGGGACGTCTATCCGGGATGGGCCTTGGAGGCACGGCTTTGTCATGGCTCTGGTCCTTCCTGGAGAATCGATCTCAGATAGTGAAGCTGGGAGACAACTGCTCGGACCCCTGGCCTTTGACCTGTGGGGTCCTGCAAGGCTCCATTCTGTCTCAGCGGCTTTCGATACCATCGATCATGGTATCCTTCTGGGAGTCTATCCGGGATGGGCCTTGGAGGCACGGCTTTGTCATGGCTCTGGTCCTTCCTGGAGAATCGATCTCAGATAGTGAAGCTGGGAGACAACTGCTCGGACCCCTGGCCTTTGACCTGTGGGGTCCCGCAAGGCTCCATTCTGTCTCAGCGGCTTTCGATACCATCGATCATGGTATCCTTCTGGGACGTCTATCCGGGATGGGCCTTGGAGGCACGGCTTTGTCATGGCTCTGGTCCTTCCTGGAGAATCGATCTCAGATAGTGAAGCTGGGAGACAACTGCTCGGACCCCTGGCCTTTGACTTGTGGGGTCCCGCAAGGCTCCATCCTGTCTCAGCGGCTTTCGATACCATCGATCATGGTATCCTTCTGGGAGTCTATCCGGGATGGGCCTTGGAGGCACGGCTTTGTCATGGCTCTGGTCCTTCCTGGAGAATCGATCTCAGATGGTGAAGCTGGGAGACAACTGCTCGGACCCCTGGCCTTTGACCTGTGGGGTCCCGCAAGGCTCCATTCTGTCTCAGCGGCTTTCGATACCATCGATCATGGTATCCTTCTGGGAGTCTATCCGGGATGGGCCTTGGAGGCACGGCTTTGTCATGGCTCTGGTCCTTCCTGGAGAATCGATCTCAGATAGTGAAGCTGGGAGACAACTGCTCGGACCCCTGGCCTTTGACCTGTGGGGTCCCGCAAGGTTCCATTCTGTCTCAGCGGCTTTCGATACCATCGATCATGGTATCCTTCTGGGACGTCTATCCGGGATGGGCCTTGGAGGCACGGCTTTGTCATGGCTCTGGTCCTTCCTGGAGGGTCGTTCCCAGATGGTGAAGCTGGGGGACACCTGCTCGGACCCCTGGCCTTTGACCTGTGGGGTCCCGCAAGGCTCCATTCTGTCTCAGCAGCTTTCGATACCATCGATCATGGTATCCTTCTGGGAGTCTATCCGGGATGGGCCTTGGAGGCACGGCTTTGTCATGGCTCTGGTCCTTCCTGGAGAATCGATCTCAGATAGTGAAGCTGGGAGACAACTGCTCGGACCCCTGGCCTTTGACCTGTGGGGTCCCGCAAGGCTCCATTCTGTCTCAGCGGCTTTCGATACCATCGATCATGGTATCCTTCTGGGAGTCTATCCGGGATGGGCCTTGGAGGCACGGCTTTGTCATGGCTCTGGTCCTTCCTGGAGAATCGATCTCAGATAGTGAAGCTGGGAGACAACTGCTCGGACCCCTGGCCTTTGACCTGTGGGGTCCCGCAAGGCTCCATTCTGTCTCAGCGGCTTTCGATACCATCGATCATGGTATCCTTCTGGGAGTCTATCCGGGATGGGCCTTGGAGGCACGGCTTTGTCATGGCTCTGGTCCTTCCTGGAGAATCGATCTCAGATGGTGAAGCTGGGAGACAACTGCTCGGACCCCTGGCCTTTGACCTGTGGGGTACCGCAAGGCTCCATTTTGTCTCAGCGGCTTTCGATACTATCGATCATGGTATCCTTCTGGTAGTCTATCCGGGATGGGCCTTGGAGGCACGGCTTTGTCATGGCTCTGGTCCTTCCTGGAGAATCGATCTCAGATAGTGAAGCTGGGAGACAACTGCTCGGACCCCTGGCCTTTGACCTGTGGGGTCCCGCAAGGCTCCATTCTGTCTCAGCGGCTTTCGATACCATCGATCATGGTATCCTTCTGGGAGTCTATCCGGGATGGGCCTTGGAAGTACGGCTTTGTTGTGGCTCTGGTCCTTCCTGGAGGGTCGGTACCAGATGGTGAAGCTGGGAGACGCCTGCTCGGACCCCTGGCCTTTGACCTGTGGGGTCCCGCAAGGCTCCATTCTGTCTCAGCGGCTTTCGATACCATCGATCATGGTATCCTTCTGGGAGTCTATCCGGGATGGGCCTTGGAGGCACGGCTTTGTTGGCTCCGGTCCTTCCTGGAGGGTCGCTCCCAGATGGTGAAGCTGGGAGACACCTGCTCGGACCCCTGGCCTTTGACCTGTGGGGTCCCGCAAGGTTCCATTCTGTCCCCCATGCTTTTCAACATCTACATGAAACCGCTGGGAGAGGTCATCCGGGATGGGCCTTGGAGGCACGGCTTTGTCATGGCTCTGGTCCTTCCTGGAGAATCGATCTCAGATAGTGAAGCTGGGAGACAACTGCTCGGACCCCTGGCCTTTGACCTGTGGGGTCCCGCAAGGCTCCATTCTGTCTCAGCGGCTTTCGATACCATCGATCATGGTATCCTTCTGGGAGTCTATCCGGGATGGGCCTTGGAGGCACGGCTTTGTCATGGCTCTGGTCCTTCCTGGAGAATCGATCTCAGATAGTGAAGCTGGGAGACAACTGCTCGGACCCCTGGCCTTTGACCTGTGGGGTCCCGCAAGGCTCCATTCTGTCTCAGCGGCTTTCGATACCATCGATCATGGTATCCTTCTGGGACGTCTATCCGGGATGGGCCTTGGAGGCACGGCTTTGTCATGGCTCTGGTCCTTCCTGGAGAATCGATCTCAGATAGTGAAGCTGGGAGACAACTGCTCGGACCCCTGGCCTTTGACCTGTGGGGTCCTGCAAGGTTCCATTCTGTCTCAGCGGCTTTCGATACCATCGATCATGGTATCCTTTAAGTGAAAAAAAGATTATAATAAATAAAGTGATAAATCAATAAAAAAATTATAAAAAAAAAAAAAAAATAAAATAATAAAATAATATATAATAATAAATAAATAAAAAATAAAGAAAATAAAAAAATAAAATAATAAATATAATAATAATAATAGAGTAAAAAATAAATATAATAATAAAATAATAAAAAAAAAATAAAATAAATAATAATAATAATAATAAAAAAAAAAAATAATAAAAAAAAAAAAAAAATATATAATAATAATAAAAATAAAATAAAAAATATAAATAATAAAAAATAATAAAAATAAAAAAATAAAATAATAAAAAAAACAATAATAAAATAAAATAATAAAAAAAAATATAAATAAAATAAAAAATAAATAATAATAAAATAATAATAATAAAAATAAA